TTAATTTCTTTTTTTAGTTTTTGTCAATATTTTTAATTATAGTATTTCGTTTAATTTTTTTATTTGCACTTGCTTTGCTCTACAATGTCATTTTAATACGCTGGAATTCCCACTTACTTCTGAAAAGAAATTACTGTTATTTAGGCACGTTTCGTATAAAAATTTATTTGATGAAAAATTGTTTGACAGTTTATTTTTGAAAGAATCCGGTTTGTGCGCGTTATTTTGCACATTAAGTAAAATATTTCTTTACTGTTTGTTTCGATTGGTTTTTTTTTTTTTTTGTTTTGTGTTTCATAACACAATACTTTCGCTTTATTGTGCAGTGCATTAGCTCGTGTGATACCAGAGTTCAAAGTGATAAATAAATTTCGAGCGAGAAAAAACCAACAAGAATAAAAGTTAAATTGGGTTAGGTTCTACTGCCCGGCTGCCATGCCATACATAGACCCGCTGACGCTTGCAAGTAGTGCAGCCATATTGGGGTTCAGTTTAATTTGAGGTGAAGAATTCGTCACACAGGACATTAATGTTTTCTACGAACTGTACGAGTCCTATCGATACCACGTGAGTAAGAATAATACGAATTCTCCCGAGGTGTTTTTGCACATGATCTTACTTAAGGATGTACTTAAGGAATTCCTTCTAAATTTCGTTGTTTATCTTTTTAACTTACTTCCGTATTTCTTTTACTTGTTCGGTAGCCAGACGGATACCAGTTTTGGCAATCTCATTAACGGATTTGTTTCCTAGAACTCTTTTGTTACTTGGAACCCAGAATATATGCAACCGTTTGCCGGTAGCTGCTACATCTACTACTTCCCTGCTTCTAAGAACGCTCTCTGACGTAATGCGATGTGATTATAGCCTTAATTGCATATTTATCCTTTTTATGCTATTTCCTGCGTACTTAGCTATCTCGGCCGATTTCGCAACTGTTAATACTTCCGCCTGGAAAATACTGCAATAATCCTGAATCTTGAATTGTCGTTTAAGATCTAGCTCCGAGCAATAGATTCCGGGTCCCACGGCCATTTTGGATCCATCTTATGCTTAAATGTGCTTAAATAGTAATTTCCTAAGCTTTGCTACTTTGGTTGCCTTTTTAAACTTGCCGCAGGAGTTCCTCAACGACTATCTCTTGTCTTTACGAATTTCTTTTTATATTCCTTTAGTACATCTTTGTATTCTCCGCAGCAAGTCACTTTATCAGCCAGCTTGTCTAGTTTGAAGACCTTGATACTATGCCTTAGTGATCCATTGTGTTCTTTCAATTATATCTTCTTTAAACCTGGAAACAAGCTCAAAACGCTATAATACTTGAAGCTCTCGAGTTTATAAGTCTATATACTATATGTCATCCTACTTTCCTAAACTCTACAATTCTAAACTGTTCGTGATTTGACAGAAAAGAGAAGCAAACATTGAATGATCTCGATATATTTTGCCTTGTTTATTAGTGTTCAATATGATTTTTTAACGAAATTAGTACAAAGTGTTTCTATTCTGGTTCAACTAATCCTCTAAAGTTCAAACAAAGTATTTTCGTTGAGTCATCTTGTTAATTTACTATACACTCTCTCTATAGAACAAAACCAACATAACAATTAATGTAAGCATAGGTTTGTAGAAAGCCATGGGAAAAGGTCGAAACATTCTAAGGGCCGTTTTCTCAATGTCTGGTTATCCCATCCATCAGCT